CTAGGCACCAACAGGCAATCAGCCCAGGGGGTAGTGTCAGGGGCAGGGCACAGGGCACCACGTGTCCTGGCACCCACTCGGTATCTTAGCCTGATTATGATTCCCAGGCTCAGAGTCCTTGGACATCCTGTTTAGGCTCCTGCCAGAACGGCCTTGAACATCCCGGAGTACGAATAACAAGGCCTCTGTGCTCTCATTGCCGTGGTTCCCACAGGGAGTATATAGGGCATTGCTGTGCCCAGTGTAAGAATAGTGGCTTGTTCAGGTGGTCTCCTTGGCCTCCTGCGCTGTACCTCCTGATGGGTGATGTCCCCTCCAGCCTAGAACATAGGTGTGAGAGGAGGAATACAGATCTGCCCGATGGAAGAGCAGTTGACCATTTACCAGTTACGATGGGTTGTATAAGCAAGCCCTGGGCCAGACCCGCCCCAAATGTGTTTCCCAGGCCAGGTGAACAGGCCTGCGCTCGGTGTGTGCCCTGGGAGCGGCAACGACAGGCCAGTCTCCGCTCCCCCACAAGGCCTCAGCATCTGCTTCCGGATCTGCACTGTTAGTGGGAAGCACACAGCTGATGAGGAATAGAGCACTGCAGGTCCACCTGGTTGGGGCTTCTCATTCATGGTTAACAGTATGACCCTCCCTCAATTGTCAGCATTTTCAACAGATAAATGAACATGATAATAAATATTCTATCAGCCCTGCTCCTGCTGGATTGTAAGGGAGGGGCAGTCGCCGTTCAGTGTTGTGGCTTTCAGCCCGATCTTGCTTGCACATGACGTCCTGCTGTTGCTGACAATGGATGTGGCATCGGCCCACACATACAGAACGCTGTGGACACGCTGTAATGACGTCAGCCATTGCCAGAGGGAGGCCCACAGGGGATGTGCTCGCAACCAAGGTACATGCCCTCGACCGGAATCGAACCCGGGACCCTTCAGTCTGCAGGCCGACGCCCTATCCACTGAGCCAAACCGGTCAGGGCCTGACTGATTATCTTAATTCATTCTGAATACTAATTGAAAACAATTCTCTATATCTCCTTAGAAAACTCACTTCTTTTGATTTTGCCCATACCTTATGCTACCCTGTTTATATTAAAATAGTATAGGCCTGTGTAACAGAATTAAAACATACAGAGAATAGTAAGGGGGGGAGCAGATTAAACAAAGAACATATATGCATATATGCATAACCCATGGACACAGGAAGTAGTGTGGTGAAGACCTGAGTGGCAGTGGAGTGCAGGGTGGAGGGTGTCAATGGGGAATAAATCTATAATACTTTCAACAATGGAGATAAATGTTAAGAAACATACAGAGAACTACCTAAATTGATTCACATCTGGGGAGATTTTTAGAACCACAGAGCACCTTATTCCTTATTCTCCCTCTTTTTCAACATGCGATTTTCTGAAGTAGAAATCAATCTCATATGTTGAACCAACTCAAATCTTAATGATAAGTTTGGAGTAAAATCAGCATTAAATAAGTAATACTTAAATAATTTTGCCGACTGCATGACTATTTCCACTTTGTTGCAAACACACGCTCCTAGTTTCTTTAAGTGAAGATATATTGACTAAAATTAAATCATCCTACCATGTAGTACATCCCAATATATTATCACAATCCAGTACTGAATTCATTTATTCATTCAATAAGTATTCTTGAGATGATTACCATGTGTTAATAAGCCCAGGGTATATGGGGTTAAATAAAAAATCTTCCCTCTCAAATTACTCACAGTCAAGTAAACAACTAAAAAAAGAGGAAATCAACGAATATAGCATAAAATTGTAACTGCTGAAGGAAGGTCTACAAAGCAAACTGTGCAGTCCAGAAACTGAAGTTATAACAAGAAGACATCAGGTAAGGAGGAGAGAATCCCAGATCAGGTCGGGATAGGTGTCCAGCATGTGCAATTACAGAAGAGAGCATATGTGTTCCAATAGCCTAAGATAGGGGTGTGTGTGTGTGTGTGTGTGTGTGTGTGTGTGTGAACTTAAACACTGAGTCCTTCCTAAATTATAAGATCCTAGAGCTCAAAGAGATCAGTGTCTTAATCACTATTTCTTCCACAGTGTATCGAATAGTAGGCACTCAGCAAATACTTCTTGAAAAGATAAATAAATGTCTTATAAGAACTAATGAGAAATGATAGTTCTCAATTTATTTGAAAATTCTAATATGTGACAAAGAATTAAGGCCTGAGACTAGAAGCAGCAGAGTTTATGTAATTATAGATTTTTTAAGTTTGATCTTTAGGGTTTGCTTGGACAGAGTAGATTATCAAATATATTTGACAAGAGGTCCTATATCAGAGCACATTAAGAATGTTAGAATAAATTCATTATGGACCAGGATTTCTTTAAATTTTCAGGCAGAATGAATTAATGCTATCTATCAGTTCTATCAGTGCCGAGGAAATAATTAGTTACTTAGATAAATTAAGGAGTGTGTGTGCCTTTTAAATGTAATAAAAGCAGAGTGAGAGAGCCATGGTGAGGGAGAGTGTGCTGTCTCTAGGATTCATCCTGGGAACATTCCTGTAATGCCAGGCAGAGTGGGCCACAGTCCATGCCTTTGTGCCCTGTTGTAGGACTGTCTTAGCCTTCCTGGCATTTACAGCCCTTCCATTCTAGAGAAGACAATGAGGCAACAGGCAAATTGTTATGATCCCTCGATGGGCTGTTGAGGACAGAGAAGAACCTTGTGGAAAGAGTTTGAATGCTGGAGTCAACTAGACCTCGGGTAACATTCTGGATCTGGACAAATTAACATCCAGCAAAGGAAAGCTCCAGTCCCTCACTTCTATTCCTGACTAACTGTTTCTCAACCATTGGGTTCAATTGAGATCACAGCCCTAAAAGCTTCAGTGCTTCCAAAATGGACCTCCTGCCATTACTCCCACCCCCCATTCCCAGTCGGCTCGACACTTGCTTCCGTCGTTAGAAAAACAATCTACTTTTCACCCAGTCTCTCAGGCAAAATACATTGTGATGTTGTTACTTTCTATTGTTCAAGCAGCACATCCAATCCATCAATAATTTTTGCCGGCATTATCTTTGACATAAATCCTGAATCTGATCAATTCTTTTTTTTTAATATATTTTATTGATTTTTTACAGAGAGGAAGGAAGAGAGATAGAGAGTTAGAAACATCGATGAGAGAGAAACATCGATCAGCTGCCTCCTGCACATCTCCTCCTGGGGATATGCCCGCAACCCAGGTACATGCCCCTGACCGGAATCGAACCTGGGACCTTTCAGTCCGCAGGCCGACGCTCTATCCACTGAGCCAAACCGGTTTCGGCTGATCAATTCTTATCACCCCCAACACTGCCACTTTAGTCCAAATCCCCATCATTTCCTCCTGTCCAAACTCCCAGCAACCATTCCTGCCATAAAATATCCTATACTTTATATGACAGTTAAAACTACCACTTAAAATATGTTTGTTTGGCCCAATGCGTCTGATGTTGGCTTTGGGATTGGCCTTTATTGTATGGCCTTTATTACATTGAGGTATGTTCCTTCTACTCCCATGAGCCTGAGAATTTTTATCACAAATGGGTGAATACATAAAATGCTTTTTCTGCATCTAATAGATGCAGAATATGATTGTGTAGTTTTTAGACTTCATTTTGTTTATGTGGTGTAAGTCATTTATTCAATTGTGAACATTGTACCATCTCTACATCCCTGGAATAAATGCCACTTGATCATGGTCTACGATATTTTTAATGTATTGCTGGATCCACTTTGCTAATATTTTATTGAGAATTTTAGCATCTATGTTCATCAGGGATACTGGTTTATAACTTTCTTTGTGGTGTCTTTATCTGGTTTCAGAATTAGGATAATGCTGGCCTCTTAGGATAAGCTTGGGAGTCTTCACACCTCTTAAATTTTTTGGAAGAGTCCTGATTAGCTTCAGGAGTTACACTTAGCACAGGGTTGTCTACCCTGAGATTCTACACACTCTTACTAAAAGGGTATCTTCTTTTACATCTGATCTCTCATGCAGCTAGGATTACAAAAAAGTTATAAAAATATGTGAGCTGACATGTATTTTTAGGAAGATTCCATTTATGGGAATTGTCCAGAAGAGTTAAAGGAGTAGCAGTTATGTAGAGATTAGATGGAGGAGAGAAAGCCCTTTCAGTAGGCATGTGCATAATCTCAGGGTGGAGAGAGACCACTGTGCTAAGTGTGACCCCAAGGACAGAAGTCAGTCAGGCAATGGCTGTCTCTTCCTGTGCCCCAAACAACTAGAAAAATGCAGAAATCTGGGAAGAGAAACCACAAGCAGGAAAGCATTCCACACATCGCAAGGCCAAGGTGTTTCATCCCTGTGGTGCAGAAAACTCTCAAAGGCTGGTGTTTTCTAAAGGGACAAAGGGCAAACAATATGCACCTCCAACATGAGAGGCAGTGCACAGGCCTCTACATGTCAGAGATGCCCCACCTCCCCAATCCGGCTTCAGGGCTGGTGGGGACCAGCCCGGGGACAAAGTGAGGCAGCAGAAGCCCCAGCAGGTCCCCTGGGGGGGGGGGGAGGGGAAAGCCCCTCCTCTGGGAGAACAGTGTGCAGGACCTGCCAAAGCCCCACAGGGCACAGCTGCACTGGCAGGGCTCCCCCTAGGAGGTTACCCACAGCAATTGTTGCACAATTGTTCAGAGATGTATTTTTGAGACTCCCCGTCAGAGCACTGATGAAATAGGCGGGAACTGGAAAAAGCACGGAGGTCCATGGAGAGGGGATGGGACCGCCAATCTTGGTCCACGTGGACAAGGGGAGCTGAGCAGCTGCTCAGTTCGGTGCAGGGGTCTCTACATGTTAAGAGATGCAGATCTCAGGGGTCCTCTCACATGAGACACATGGACCAACCGTCTGCATTGAGCAACCCACCCACTAAACCCCTTACATCTGCAGCCATGTTCTGTGTTTGGGAGGCACACGGAAATGCAGGGTGATCTTTTCTCCTCTCACAACTACAGCGCCAGCCCAGGGGGCAGAGCAGGCTCCTGTTTCAACAACTTGTCCATCCAGAGGAGCCCAATGCAGAGGCAGATGTAGAGGCCTGTCCACCTCCAATGGTCCCGCCACCTCCTGCAGCCCCTGCTGACGAGCCAGGGCCGGCCTGTGCAGCTCTCCTCACCGAACCGAGGACCCTCCAACCCTGGCTGCAGAGCCCTGCCTCGACCCCGTCCTGGTTCCTGCGTCAGAGGAGGAGCTGCCTCTAGCAAAGGCATCAGGGCCAGCTCAAGGCCCGATTGTTGAATGTGGTCACCCTGCCATCAGAAGTATTTGTTTTACCCTCACACATTGACCTTTTACTTTTATTTTCTTTAATTATTGCATTTTTGTTTTCTCTATGGCATGATTCAGTTTTTTATTTTTATTATTTGTGGGTTTTTTATTTTATCATTTTTCTTATTTTCTGTTTTTAGCCTTCATTTTCCCATATTGTAATTAATTTTAAATAATAAATGTTATTTGTATTTTAAATTGCACCATTCCGGAGCATGGAGTACATCCATGGCGCTGCATATTCACCACCCCTTCCTGGGTGCCAAATGTCCCCTCACCCCACAAGGAAAAGAAAACCCTGCTCCAGAAGTACTCATGCCCCACTCCGTCTGCCCCTGGAAACTCTTATGCCATTTGTCTCTTTTTTTAACCTATTCTGGCTCTTTCCTATAATTGGAATCTCACAATAGGAGCCTTTTTGGGTCTCAGGATGCAAGACTGGTACAATATCCACAAATCAATAAATGAGATGCCCCACATAAACAAAAGAAAGGAAAATAAAAGCACATGATCATGTCAACTGATACAGAAAAAGCAGCTGACAGGAGAACCAAGATGGCGGCATAGGTTAACGCCGGAGTTTGCTGCTTTGAACAACTACTTCAAAAGTGAAACCAAAAACCGGAAGGGACATCACCCAGAACCACAGGAACGCCGGCTGAGTGGAAGTCCTACAACTAGGAGGAAAGAGAAACGCATACGGACACTCAGAGGAGGCGCAGTGCTGAAGTCAAATTCTGAGGTGCGGAGTGCGAGGAGCGGGCTGGCGGCGGAGGGCGCGGTTGGCGTTTTCAATCGGGAGGGAGTCGCAGACTCTGAGCTCCAGATCCGGGCGAGTCTTTAGGGACCCAGACTCAAACGGGAGAAGCGGGACTGTCTGGCTTCGGTCAGAGCGAGTGCAGCTTTCTCTCCGAGCTTTGCAGCGGGTGCTGGGACCCAGAGAGGCAGAGCCCCTGGGGACAGGACTGAGAGCCGCCATAACTGCTCTCTCCGGCCCACCCTGTTGATCCTGTGCGACCCGCCACGCCCAAGCCCTGCACACAGGCATTTGCCGGATAGCCTCAGGCAAAGGCTAGATTAGCACCTCCCTAGAGGACAGAAGTTCTCACACTGCTGATACAGCTGATTCTCATAGCCACTTGGCCTGGAGGTCAAACCCTCCCTGGAATTAGCTACAACAATCAAGATTTAACTACAAGACTGCGAACAAAGACCACTAGGGGGTGCACCAAGGAAGCATAACAAAATGCGGAGACAAAGAAACAGGACAAAATTGTCAATGGAAGATATAGAGTTCAGAACCACACTTTTAAGGTCTCTCAAGAACTGTTTAGAAGCCGCCGATAAACTTAATGAGATCTACAAGAAAACTAATGAGACCCTCCATCTTATATTGGGGAACCAACTAGAAATTAAGCATACACGGACTGAAATAACGAATATTATACAGACTCCCGACAGCAGACCAGAGGACCGCAAGAATCAAGTCAATGATTTGAAATGCGAAGAAGCAAAAAACACCCAACCGGAAAAGCAAAATGAAAAAAGAAGCCGAAAATACAAAGATAGTGTAAGGAGCCTCTGGGACAGCTTCAAGCGTACCAACATCAGAATTATAGGGGTGCCAGAAGATGAGAGAGAGCAAGATATTGAAAACCTATTTGAAGAAATAATGACAGAAAACTTCCCCCACCTGGTGAAAGAAATGGACTTACAGGTCCAAGAAGCGCGGAGAACCCCAAACAAAAGGAATCCAAAGAGGACCACACCAAGACACATCATAATTAAAATGCCAAGAGCAAAAGATAAAGAGAGAATCTTAAAAACAGCAAGAGAAAGAAACTCAGTTACCTACAAGGGAATACCCATACGACTGTCAGCTGATTTCTCAACAGAAACTTTGCAGGCCAGAAGGGAGTGGCAAGAAATATTCAAAGTGATGAATACCAAGAACCTACAACCAAGATTACTTTATCCAGCAAAGCTATCATTCAGAACTGAAGGTCAGATAAAGAGCTTCACAGATAAGGAAAAGCTAAAGGAGTTCATCACCACCAAACCAGGATTATATGAAATGCTGAAAGGTATCCTTTAAGAAGAGGAAGAGGAAGAAAAAGGTAAAGATACAAATTATGAACAACAAATATGCATCTATCAACAAGTGAATCTAAGAATCAAGTGAATAAATAATCTGATGAACAGAATGAACTGGTGATTATAATAGAATCAGGGACATAGAAAGGGAATGGACTGACTATTCCTGGGGGGGAAAGGGGTGTGGGAGATGCGGGAAGGGACTGGACAAAAATCGTGCACCTATGGATGAGGACAGTGGGTGGGGAGTGAGGGCGGAGGGTGGGGTGGGAACTGGAAGGAGGGGAGTTATGGGGGGAAAAAAAAGAGGAACAAATGTAATAATCTGAACAATAAAGATTTAATTAAAAAATAAAAAAATAAAAAAATAAAAAAATAAAATGTTAAAAGAATGAAAAAAAAAAAAGAAAAAGCAGCTGAAAAAATCCAGCACCCATCTATAATAATAAAAGCATAATATGCTAATTAGACTGGACGCCCTTCCAGAAGTCCTTCCGGATGGCCTTCTGGATGAAGCCAGAGTTCTGAGGGCTGAGGCAAGCCACTGAGGCTGCGAGAGCCGAGCCACTTACACGCATTTCATGCATTGGGCCTCTAGTGTATAATGAAAACTCTCAGGAAGGTGGGAATAGAGTGAACACACTTCTACATAATAAAGGACATATATGACAAATGCACAGCCAACATCATATTCAACGGGGAAAAACTAAAGGTGCTTCCCTTAAAATCAGGAACAGTACAGGGATGCTCACTTTCACCACTGGTAGTCAACATAATACTGGAAATCCTGGCCATAGCAGTCAGACAAAAAGAAGAAATAAAAGGCATCCAAATTGAAAAGTAAGAAGTAAAACTTATTATTTGCAGATTACGTGATACTATATAGAGATAACCCTAAAGATTCCACTAAAAAATTACTAGAACAGATAAATGAATGTAGTACAGTAGCAGGATACAAAATAAATATCCAGAATCAGTTGTGATTTTATACACAATAATGAATTATCAGAAATGGAAACTAAGAAAACAATCTCATTTACAATTGCTACACACACACACACACACACACACACACACACACACACACACACACATATACACCTATGAATAAATTGAACCTAAGATGTAAAAGACCTGTACTTGTTAATTTATAAGTCACTATAAAGGGAGCCCACTTCATGGGAGAACATATTGACCAATGATATCTGATAATGGGTTCATTTCTACAATATATAAGGAATTCACAGCACTTAAATGGAAGACAAACAAGGAATTAAGAAATTGGCAAAGGACCTGAATAGACACTTCTCTAAAGAGGACATGCAGATGGCCAATAGACATAGGGTAAAGTGCTCAAAGTCACTAATCATCAGAGAGATGCAAATTAAAATGACAATGAGTTGTCACCTCACTCCTGTCAGAATGGCTATCAGCAACAAATCAACAAATGACAAGTGCTGGTGAGGATGTGGAAACAAGGGAACCCTAGTGCACTGATGGTTGGGATGCAGACTGGTGCAGCCACTGTGCAAAACAGGGTGGAGTTTCCAAAAGAAATTAAAAAGGAAACAGCCATTTGACCCAGTGATCCCATGTCTTGGAATATATCCTAAGAAACCTGAAGCACCAATCAGAAAGAATGTATGACCCCTGTGTTCACAGCAGTGCCATTTACAATAGCTAAGATGTGGAAACAGCCCAAGTGCCCGTCAGTAGATGAGTGGATAACAAGCTGTGGTACATCTACACCATGGAATACTGTGCAGCTGTAAAAAAGAAGGACCTCTTACCCTTTGATACAGCATGAAGGGACCTGGAGAGTATTAGGCTAAGCAGAATAAGCCAGTCAGAGAAAGACAAGTATCACATGATCTCACTCATATGTGGAATCTAATGAACAATATAAACCCAGAGACATAGAAGCATGGAACAGACTGTGGAATCTCAGAGGAAGGTAGGGAAGGAGGACGGAGGTGGGGAGAGATTAACCAGGGAACTTATATGCATAGATGCATAGCTCATAGGCACAGACAATAGTGTGTGCCTGGGAGGGGTGGATGTGGATTGGAGGGGGTCAATGGGGAAAAAGGAGGGACATCTGTAATACTTTCAACAATAAAAATAGTCCTATATAACAAAAGCCTAATATGCTAAGTGTCGGTCATCTGGTCGTCCATTCAACCAATCAAAGCATAATATGCTAATAGTATGCTAAGGCTGCTCAACCGCTCACTATGATGTGCACTGACCACCAGGGGGCAGTTGACCAGTCTCTATAACATGCACCGCCAGGGGGCAGATGCTCTGACTGGTAGGTTAGCTTGCGGCTGGGGTCCTGCCGATGGGGACTGAGCAAGACGGTCTGGGCATGCCCTGGAGCCCTCCTGCAGTCCCTCCCCAGCTGGCCAACCTCCTGCGTCCCTTTCCAGCCCCAATTGTGCACCAGTGGGGTCCCTTGGCCTGGCCTGCACCCTCTCAGAATCCGGGATCCCTTGGGGGATGTTGGAGAGCCAGTTTCAGCCCAATCCCACAGACCACAGGTGCATGAATTCCTGCACTGGGCCTCTAGTTTTTTATAATAAAAGAAAGAAATTAAAGAACATGCAAATAGTGGAAGCATATACTCTGGTCATTGATATGAAGAACTAACATCATTAAAATGTCCACACTACCAAAGCCATCTATAGATTCAACACAATTCTTATCAAGATACTAATAGCATATTTCACAAAACCAGAACAAATATCCCCAAAATTACTATGGAATCACAAAAAACAAACAAACAAACAAAAAACAATAGCCACAGCAATATAAAGAAAGAAAAACAAAGTTGGAGGAATCATGCTGCCTGATATCAACCTATACTACAAGGCCATAGTTATCAAAACAGCATGATATTGACATAAAATCAGACATGTAGATCAATGGAGCAGAATAGAGAGTCATGCCTTAATAAATGGTTAATATTTGAAAGAGGAGACAAAAACATACAATGGTGTAA